AACCAAACTTGGCATACAGGACTTCCATGACTAACAGAAAATACTGGAGAGGGGGTTGGGAAAAATAGACCCTGACATTTGGGAATTGCAGTTTACCAAGCACCAAAGGACATTCTGAGCTCCACCAACAATAGAACTGAACCAAACTTGGCATACAGGACTTCCATGACTAACAGAAAATACTGGAGAGGGGGTTGGGAAAAATAGACCCTGACATTTGGGAATTGCAGTTTACCAAGCACCAAAGGACATTCTGAGCTCCACCAACAATAGAATTGAACCAAACTTGGCATACAGGACTTCCATGACTAACAGAAAATACTGGAGAGGGGGTTGGGAAAAATAGACCCTGACATTTGGGAATTGCAGTTTACCAAGCACCAAAGGACATTCTGAGCTCCACCAACAATAGAATTGAACCAAACTTGGCATATAGGACTTCCATTACCAAATACTAGAGAGGTTTGGGGGAGGCATGTACAAAAGATGACATTTGCAGTACCTTTTGACCAGGCCTCCTTGCTGCCCTGAGAGGGGTCCAGGCTCAGCTGCAGGGAAGGGAAAGCGAAAGCGAAAGAGCCTGGCTGGCTGCCTCCCTCCTGGCAGCACGTGGAGGGAGGACTTCCCTCTCGCCTAGTGGGCGGGGCCTGCGCTTCTCCATTAGAAGGCTGTTGAGGGCGCATGGGGCCTCCAGGAGGAGGCGTGGCCTAAGGACAAAACAGCGCCCCCTGGCAAAAAAAGTATTCCGCGACCGCTTACTTCGAGTAATGGACGGGCCGGCCCTGGACATTGGACTACAACTAACCAAAGCCGAATAGAGGGGTAGCATTACTTCCCTAGATCTAGACACTATGCTCCTATTGATGCAGGCCAAAATCCCATTGGCTTTTTTTGCCACCACATCACATTGGCTTTAGTTAAATCAGTGGTTCTCAATCTGGGGTCCCCAGATGTTTTTGGCCTACAACTCCCAGAAATCCCAGCTAATTTACCAGCTGTTAGGATTTCTGGGAGTTGAAGGCCAAAAACATCTGGGGACCCCAGATTGAGAACCACTGAGTTAAATGGTAAATTCATTATTATCTTCTTAGTCTGTGAACCTATGAGCCAACGATTTTATATTAACAATGAAAAGCTTTCTTTGGGGGAAACTAATATGCAATGCCAGGTGAGTTTCTTGTTTGTTCTGTTAAAAGATACTTACATTATGCAACTATGTTATATTGTTCATAATTTAATTTATTTATTTTTAAATAATACAATGCTAAAACTCATGGAAAAGCTGAGCACCTTGAAGCTTGAACTGGGGAATATATTTGCTACTCTAGGTAGAGCTGGAAAACTGACATGTTGGTCCAGGAAAGAATCATCTGGCTTGGGACATGTCTGGGACTGACAATATACAAATAAAGGTGGAATATGTTATGCTAAATAGTAGAGGTGTGCATTTTTTCATTAGTCCTTGTAGCTCAGATCAAATTCATTAAATTCGTACTTATGAGGCAATATCTGATACATGGGTGTGGCCCGTGCCAGCAATTTGAGAATTGAAACTTATCCCATGTTTTTTCATTTTAGTTTTGTAAATCTCAGAAGGTTCTCAAAGTCAGTTTCATATTCAGTGGAAGGAGTGGGGGAAAAGAGGAAGCAGTGCTTTCTGGGAACAGCATAGAACTCTAGGAAATGTAGTTTGGGAAGGAAGGAGGTTTATGCCAGAGAACCCTAATCCTTTCCCAGAAAGCAGTGCATTGCTCAGCATAAGAGAGATTTGCCCCTCCATAGCCAGCCAGAGCTCCAATAAATTATGTTTTTTGTTCCTGGGTTATAAATGTCACTTCCTAATTGATTCTATCATAAAAACATGACAAAAGTTTATTAAACTGCAAAAATCTTGTCTTTACATGAGGGATATTGTATAGCACATTTGGTTATCCAGTCAACCAATTTAGCATCATCATCACCCACCCATTTAACAAAGTTTTTGGCATGAAAACAAAGTTTCAGTGCAAAACCACTACTTTAAAAGTAAGGACTACACAATTAAGCAGGAAATAATACTTTAAAACTAAGAACATATTTTCTTTATTTTTAAAAAATGTTGAAAATTCCCCAAAATTTCACGGATAAGTGAAACATTCTAAAATTTTATGGGCAAAGAGTGGTAAATGTGTTCTATGATTGTATTGAGTTTGACCCCAATAGCTGTAACAATGAGGGAGAAATGAGCTCCTGAAGTTTCCCCAATTATAGTAATTATGCAAAATTACTATAATGAAATAGTAACAACATTTTGTTACTCTCATAGTAAGATTTTTTAACTAACTATACTTTAGAAACACTTTAGAAATGAAATGCCAGCATCCTCCAGTTTTGTAACGACTTTTGAGCCATTTTTAAAATAAATCACACATTCCTACTAAGTAGCACAAGTAGGCCTTTGTTATTTGTTGTTATGTATTGTTTAGATGGCTTCAATTTACAAACAAGAGATTTCCAAGGCAAAGTACAAGTTTGGGTTATTTTTAAAGACCTACATCAGTTGTTCTCAACCTGTGGGTTCCCAGGCGTTTTGGACTACAACTCCCAAAATCCCAGCCAGTTCACCAGCTGTTAGGATTTCTGGGAGTTGAAGGCCAAAACATCTGGGGATCCACACATTGAGAACCACTGCCCTACATGGTAAGAATCCATTTTACTTATAGGATTGCCTCCTCCCATATAGTCCCCCTCATACACTCTGGGGAATGTTTATTTCTGTCAGTCAGAACAAGGCTGGTGATGGTCACTCATTTTTTTAGCCACCCTTAAGTTGTAGCCACTTTGCCTTTGGAAGAATCTCTTTTAGAAATGCTACTTGGAAATGAACCAAAGCCAACAGCAGAACATCTTCTATTCTTTATCTCTCTTTCCCCTCCCAATCTTTCCAATTACAATGTAGCAATACTACCTGAATCAATGATAAGCTGTAGTCTTCACATTAATAAGTCCACAGGTAGCAATATGAACTTCTTTTAAAATGTAACTAGAAGTTTCAGAGAAGGGATATTTGTCAGGAGAATGACAGGGAGAGAGCTCTGGATTCTATTTTTAACAAGAACACTCATAGGGAATATTTGTGATTTTCAAAAATGACATCTTAAATGGCAACTACAGCCAGTCTACAACTGGCAACTACAGCTATGAACAAGATAGGTTCTGTAGGTTTGTTCTTAAGTTGAATGTGTTTGTAAGTCAGAACAGGGACATTTAAAGTGGAACTCCAGCTACATGCACACACATACACACACACACACACATATATATAGAGGGAGGGGAAGTGGGGATATGATGGGAGATGATGGGAGGGGGTGGGAGATGGGAGGAGATGGGAGTGATGTGTGGTGATGGAAGATGATGGGAGGAGATGAGGGATGATGGGAGATGAGAGGTGGGAGATAGACTTGCTGACTGAAAGGTCGAATCCAGGGAGTGGCATGAGTGCCCACTGTTAGCCCCAGCTTCTGCCAATCTAGCAGTTTGAAAACATGCAAATCTGAGTAGATCAATCGGTACCGCTCCAGCAGGAAGGTAACAGTGCTCCTTGCAGTCATGTCAGCCACATGACCTTGGAGGCATCTATGGACAACGCCGGCTCTTCAGCTTAGAAGTGGAGATGAGCACCACGCCCCTAGAGTCAGACAGGACTAGACTTAATGTCAAGGGGAAACCTTTACCTTTTTTATATAGATATAGATATATACGTTTTGAATAGCACAGGGAAAGATTAACACCCCTGTGGTGTTTGTTTTGCTGTCTGTCCCCGTTCAGAAGATTTTGCCTCTCTTTCTGTCCCTTTCATTATTGGATTTTGGAAAAAATGGGCTTTTTGTGAAAATGATTGGTGATAAAGCTTCAATGGAGACACCTTTCCTCCATGATAACTCTTCCTGGTGTGAATTTCCCTTCCTAGTGTTAGATTTCTCTTACTTCCTGTTATCTCACTCCTGTTCTTAACTATGAGTTATATGTAAGTTGGATGTTTGTAACTTGGGGACTACTGCATGCATTCCTCCTATAATAATAATAACAACATTTTAAAAAATATTTTATGATTAGCTTTATTGGGGACCAGCAACAGAATTCAGACTAGAAAGTCAAATTCCAGCTTACACGCATACAAACACAAAAGTTGTAGGGATATTAAAGTCGCTTAACATTTAATCTAACTTTGTGTTTTTTCCCATAATGACTTCTCCATACTGCATGTTTCCTCACTCACTACATATATTTATTTGAGTCCTGTTCTAGGAGAAAGAAGAGATATAAGTTACCTAAGTAAACTGTTTGTTTATGTAGCACTATCAGTGCACATGGAACTTTACAAGAGTGGATTACAGGTGATAATGTTATAACTTTTTGTCCACAGGCTTTTAACCTTACAAGGAAAAGGAAATGGCAATGGCAGTGGATGAGAGGAGCTGCTGTTCACCCTTCAGAGCCTCAACAGTGCCAGCAGAGGTGACAGGATGGTCTTTCCTCAGCTGCTGGGCTTAAGCATGATGGAAATGCAGCACATTATGTTCTACAATTGTTCCCTATGGCACTAAACTTAGTCCATCTTATGCTGCTTTGTACAGATGCAATTTGGTATACTTTCCAAACAATTTGGTATGCTTTGTACAGATGCAATTTGGTATGCTTTCTAATAAAAAAGGAGTGTTTCCATCATCTTTTAAATTTGTGTATGATTCAGATTACAAGTTCATTGCTAATATATTTAACTTAGGTTTAACAAAAACTGATATTTTGTTAATGAATTACTAGGGTTTTATTCTTTTACTTATCATATATGGATTCTGTGAGCTGCTGTTATACTAACTGGAAATCAAGCTATCCTTGATTACCTTGAAGGTAGTTCTTTATAACACCTGAGAAAGGTGTTACCAAAGCTAGTTGTGAAATTAAATAGTGACAATGGAACAAGTCTATAGGTGTAAGGAAAACAGAAATCTCAAATGTACCTGATAAAAGTGTGGCCAGAATGTGCTGATTGCCAGTTCTGCTTTCACCCAGCCTTCTGTAACAATTCCAGAGACATTCCAGATAGGGTTGCCTTGAGGCCCACCATTAACTTTCACAAAAACGTTCAAGGATCCTGGGCTGGAACGATCTCGGCTGGACAGGTAGTAGTGGAAATCAATGCAGTGGGTATCATTTTCCTTCAGTGTTGGTAAAAGCAAGTGAGCTTTTTGACCAGATGCTCTCCCAGAACTATTCACCATCATGAAGGACCCTAGAGAGGAAAACGAAATCAAAAGAGGAGAATGAAGAGAATAGGGTCAACAGTTTATTACATTTTCCCCAGAAGAATACTATGATGGGAATCAATGACTCTAAATAATTTGTCCAGCCATTAAAAAAAACCAAGCAGGTATTCATTTAAAGAATACAAGCCTATTATTTAACAGCAGCATTTATCTAAAAAGATAACACATCAAAATTACAGGACTGACAAATAGATTTGCACCCACTGTCTGCAACACACACTGAAGAGTGTTATTTATTACTATTTTCACATTTTCTATTTTGTTTTTCAATTTGGCTGACAGTAAAATATTCACAGCAAGCATGGATAGCATATATTTTTTTCATTCTACTAAACATTATTGTGGCCACCAAACTCTCCCAATGCATAGAAACAGTATTAAACTCACTTCTATTTATCTAAATATGTTGATTAAAGAGGGCATAGAAGAAAGGGCAAGTACCACTGGATTCTTCACTGGACTTCAGTTTTGGTAACTGATGGTAAGGACCAAAGCTTTACTACATAATGGCACAAATTATTGTTTTGCAAGTCTTGAGCAGGATTATTGATGACTGGAACTCTTAAAAGTCTCTCATGCTATGGTTTCTTCAATGGAACATTTATGTACATTCATCTTATTTTATTGCGTTTGTACTGTGATTTTTATTCACAATTTATTTGCATTGAGGGAGATCGACAGCATGCATGGTTCTGAGCAATACTAGAATGGGCACTGATGTGCTAAAATAGATAAATAAAAAAATAATTAACATAATCAATGCATGCAGTGCAGTGATGACAACTTTACAAGTCAAGATTGCATTTGTATTCTTTATTTTATCCATTTTGTAAATCACACTCAAGATTGCACTGTAAGTAGTTGTCACCTACCCCTAAATCAGGTCCTGGAAACTATACAGCATGCATACTGGGCCACCTTGTTGCAATGAAATATCTTGCTAATGTTAATGATGCATACATCAACAAGGCAACACTAAGTGATCCATCAAACCCTTGCCCTTACAACAGTTACCATAACATCATTTTTCAGACACGTAAAACCTGTGGAGCTGTCATATCAGAGCACATCATTTATTCCAATGGCAAATTATTTTCCACTTGCCAATTATTATTTTTCAAGACTCTTATTTTTAAGAATCTCCAAGCTATGAGATGCTCAGCGGCTCACTCCTATAATTTCCCTTCATGAAAATATTTCAGATTAAGATACAATGGGCAACATAATTCTATTGTAAAATCTCAACTGAGACAGTGTTAAGTTTTGGGTTGTTTTGTACTTTATCCCCATGTTTCCTTTTCATTCCCTGTACAGTCCACCTTGTCCATGAAGTGAGATTATAATTCAGAGAAGGGGTTCCTACCACCTTGACTGCATGCCTGAATACAGAAGAACCCCTATATCCACAGGACCAGTAGCCATGGCTTCACTTGCTTGTGGTGAATGGCTAATACCAAGGGCCATCCCTTTAGTCTATGGGCTACTTGAACATTGTTTCCATCCTAAATATCTTGGTGTCATCTTAGATCGAACACGATCATATAGGAAACACTGCTTGAACACCAAGCACAATGTAGCTGCACGCAATAACATTCTGCGAAAACATACTGGCAGCACATGGGGTGCAGACCCAAAATTAATAAGAACATCAGCTCTAGCCTTGTCTTACTCAACTGCCGAGTATGCCTGCCTTGTTTGGCATAGGTCTGCCCATGCAAAGCAGGTGAACATAGCATTGAATGAAACATGCAGAATAATCACAGAGTGTCTTAAACCTACACCTGTTGATGAACTCTACAAGCTAGATGGCATTGCCCCCCCTCCCCCCGATGTGCGACGGGAAGTTCCTGCTAAATGTGAGAGAAATAAGATTGAACACTGTGAAAGCCATCCACTACATGGCTACCAGCCTCCTCCCAGTAGACTCAAATCAAGGAAAAGTTTTATGAGAACTACCACTCCCCTTGGCATCCCTCCAGCAACAGCAAGGGTATCTCTCTGGGCAACTAAATCAGGAAATCCCAACTGGATGGCCCCCTATGAGGGTCTTCCTCCAGGGGCAAACCAAGAATGGGCAACTTGGAAGTCCCTGAATAGATTCAGAAGTGGAGTGGGCAGATCAAATAGACTCAGAAGTGGGATTGTGGCGCAGCTGGCTGAGTGTCAGCTGCATTAAGATCACTCTGACCAAAAGGTCATGAGTTCGAAGCCAGCCCGGGCTGGAGTGGGTGTCCAGCCATTGTGTAGCCCGTTGTCGACCTTTGCAACCCGAAAGACAGTTGCATCTGTCAAGTAGGAAAATAAGGGACCACCTTGTGTGGGAGGCTAAATTTAACTAATTTATGAGGCCATAAAGAAAGAAGACTCCGGGGAATGTGGAATGCGGAAGAACTTCATCGGTGTCGTTGATGGACGATGAAAAGCAGCAGCTCCCCTGGCGGCCAGAAAAAAGTTAAATAGCCTCTGTGTCTGTATATGTTGTATGTCAAAAATTGGCATTGAATGTTTGCCATATATGTGTACACTGTAATCCGCCCTGAGTCCCCTGCGGGGTGAGAAGGGCGAATATAAGAACTGTAAATAAATAAATAAATAAATAAATAAATAAATAAATAAATAAAAAACAACCTGGCAAAATGGCACTACTTGAAAGAATCCCATATCTTGTGTGACTGTGGAGCAGAACAGACAACTCTGCATCTGTATGCTTGTCCATTGTGCCCTGCCTCATGTACAGAGGAGGAATTGTTGGAGGTTACAGACAATGCCATTGCTGTTGCCGTTTTTGGTCAAAACATATTTAGCCACCTGTACACCTTCTATTTTTATCAGTTTTATACTAATTTATGCAATGCTTTTGATATGAAATAAATAAAAGTCTATGGGCTAAAGCAAAGGGTCAATGTCTTGACTTTCCATGCAACAGAACCGATGCCCCTTCAGCTGTGCCCATCTCAGGAGAGTAAATGGATCAACAAATCCACTATAACCCACAGTTTGACATATCCATATGAAGTCCTGGATATAGGGGTCATACTGTAAGATGCCCCCGGTGGCACAGTGGGCTAAACCACTGAGCTGCTGAACTTGTTGATCAAAACATCACAGGTTTGAATCTGGGGGGCAGTGTGAGATCCCACTGTCAGCCCCAACTTCTGCCAAACTAGCAGTTTGAAAACATGCAAATGTGAGTAGAACAATAGGTACTGCTCCGGTAGGAAAGTAACAGTGCTCCATGAAGTCAAGCTGGCCAGATGACCTTGGAGGTGCCTATGGACAACGCTGGCTCTTCAGCTTAGAAATGGAAATAAGCACCAACCCCAAGAGCCAGACACGACTGGACAATGTCAGGGGAAAATCTTTTACCTACTGTAAGAAAAAGAACAATTGGAACCCACAGGCACTCACTCACTAAGGACGTTATTCTTTGCTAATTTTGTTTTTAAAGGAATCAATAAGTAATTTCAGCTATTTTCTTCTCACGTTAAGCAAGTGAAAGTTTTATTGTTAAAGATCATTCACAATTCAAGACTTCTGCATATAATCTGTAGTGTGCCTTTTTTGCAACCCCTGACCCCAGCATTTTCTATGAAGGAAACATTTTCAGAACAAAGTAATAGTTGTGTAAAACAATATTTATTTATTTTCCTACACAGAAAATGCTAGTTTTTGTGTTAAAAAAACACCACATATGCATTTTGCATAGAATGCACAGACTCTAGTCAATCCCAGATTGTCCACATCAGGATTTCATGGCATCTAAGACTCAATAAAATGGTTTTTTTAAAAACAATTTTTTCAAATATTGTTCCATCCCTATCATTCCCATGTTTTATGTTCAAATGCTCTTGTTAATAATGGGGAAATGTTTAATACAGTCATAGTGAAAGAGAGAAACCTCTTTCAGTCCCTGGCATTTTTTAAAAAAAAATGAAAATAATCATTTTATTATACTTAAATATATTTGGGGCCTTCAGGAAATATAGAAATGTAATAAAAATTAGGAAGGTAGAGGTAAGCAGGAGAAGAAGGATATCAATTTCAGCAGTCAGGCATAGTAACTTTTAATCAAATACAACTCTCTTAACATTCTCAGTTCCAGTGCTGCTGCCAAGTTGTACTATAAATGTATTTCTCTGATTGCCCTCATGTAGTTCACAGAAGACCGCGTTCAGAAAGGTTTGCTTCTAGCCCACTGATGTTTGCTTATCCTTTTATGTGCCATGTTGCAGTAGTCTGACAGACAGGCAGATGGGCCAGATACACATTCTGATCAATTCTGCTCGATGAGGAGCCATACATATTATATCGAGAGGGATAGACACTGGAAACATCTGACTAAGTATGTGTCAACTGGACAGTCTCGAATCATGGAAAGTGTGTGTGTGTGTGTGTGTGTGTGTGTGTGTGTGTGAACTCATGCCCCTCAGCTATCTAGACTGAAAGTCATATATTGTACATGAATGAGAATGTAATCTGATTCCCTACATCCCCCAAATTATTGGTTTTGTTCACTCTTCTGCGTTCTATGTTGGTTTTTTGTTTGTGTGTCAGCTGCCCTGAATCATTTTTGAAGTAATGGGTGCTGTTTTCAAACCCAAAAGGAAATAACTAAATTGTGAGCATAGAATGAAAATTGTTTGAAGTAAAGAAAGTGCATTGCTTTAAACTCCTTCATACCACTTATATGTTAAACCCAATTTCATGCAAATGCATATCTGACTATAGATGTGGGGCATGCTGCATAGCTTTCAGTAGAAATGCTCACTTGGATGAGTATCCAAATGTTTTCTAAGCATATGTGCAGTTGAACATAATGCACCAACACTCAGCTGCACATTTGGATGTGCAGCGGAGTGCAGATTGACAAATGCTCTCTGGCTGAACTGCAGAGCTTCCAATGGAATGAACACTTGAACAAACATTCTGCTGGAAGAATCAAAATGCAGATGTTCTGGGGATGCAT